TGGGAAAGGAATCTTAGAAAATGAATTTTTTCTCATGTGGCCAAAACTGGCAAAGATTGGTGGTGGTTTAGTCACTAGGTCATGTCCAACTCTTGCGAATCCATGGACTGCATAGCTTGCCAGGCCCCTCTGTCGATGGGATTCTCCAGGCAAGAATACTGGAGTGGGTTGCCATTTTCTTCTCCAGGGAAGAGTTTAAATTTTAACCCAAGGGCAGCGGGGAACCACGGAGTAGCTTTAAACAGGATCATAACATGAGTGATGGGAGGCGGAAACTCAGAGATGAGAGTGAGAGGCAGAGATGCGCGGAAACAAGCATCAAACACAGGCACTGACCCTTCAAACTCACACTGGTGGGAGGGGGCAGATGATTACACAAGACTGAAGCACAGGCCTGGTGCTTTGTGGGCAGGGGAAACACTAGGACTCAGAGATTCATGTTTCACTCATTTATTAATTCAGCCATTCATTCACTCCTTGACATTTCTGGACCAGGCAGTTTGCTAGAATCAGGATCCCCAGAGCTGCTCTCAAGGAGGAGTCAAAAACCAGACTCCAAGCAGGGTGATTTTTGGTGCAGTAACAGGGGCCAAGATGGGCACCCTGACCAGAGAAGAAGAGAAAGAGTGACCAAGTGCCAGGAGTGGGCAGTCCTCAGGGAAACTTCCTGGAGAACCTCAGGCCCAGCCTGGGTTTCCAAAGGATGAGTAAGGAAGGCTTTAACGGCAGAACAACTCAAGTGGGGTGGGGTGGGGGATTGAAAGAGCATGATGTACTGGGGTCAGGACTCCTCCTTTTGGGATACAAAAGGTCAGGGTAGGGGTGGGCGGAAAGACCAGAGAAGCAGCTAGAAGCTAGAGTCTAAATGCACTAGGGTCCCAGGCTGGTGGGTTTGGACTTTATTCTGAGGGTGATGGGAAACACAGGAGAGTTTGGAGCAGGTGAAGAGCAGGATGAGACGTGAGTGTCAGAGGAACCACCGGGGACGTGGGAAAGGAGTGGATAGGCTGTCGATGCTGTGAAATAGATGAGACAGGATGGCAGTTGGGCTGGGGAAGGTGGGGAGAGAAGGTGGGAGGATGGATTTGAAGGTCACCGAGGACAGAGAGGGACAGCACTCACTGCGTTTCTCTCCATTTGCTCAGCAAGTATTTCCCAAGACCCGCTGTGTGGCAGGTTCCCTGCTCGGTGATACTAGGGGGAGCAGGGGGGATTCAGGGCCTGCCACGCCCTCCAGGGGCTCCCAGCCTGGTGGGAAGACAGACCTAAACACAGATGACGGGGAAGTGGTTGGCAACGGTGCCAGGCTCCACCAGTTCTCTCTTGATAACATGGAGCAGCGGAAAGCCGTAGAACAGAGGAGGGATGGGACCACAACTGGGTGTTGGGAATTTCCCTCTGGGGTCCCTGTGGTGGACAGGAAAGACCAGTGGGCAGGGGACCAGGGAAGAATTCCACGAGGGCAGTGTTGGAAAGAGATTCTGGGAAATGTGGGGAAAGGAATACAACTCGCAGGACAGAGGGGTACTTACTATAGGGATGATAAACGGAGAGGACTGGAAGAGGTGGCATTAAAAGGCACAAACTTCGGAGGAGAAGGGGAGCAGAGCTGGCTAGGGGGTATTGGATTCTAGTGTCCAAAAGCCAAACATACAGCAAGACAGAGGTGGAGCATGGGCAGAAGAAGAAGATGGGATGGTGGGGGTGGGGGAGATCAGGGCAACAGAGGCCCAAACTGAGTGAGTTACAGGGACAGAGGAAAGAAAGACACCAGACAGTGATCCAGAAAGGGGAGGAAAAGGGGCAGGGGAGGGGCTGGCACAACAATGCCCAGGTCAGGTCAGAGAAGTCTCAGAGAAGCAAACATATATACACATACACAGAGATGGAGGGAGAAAGATGCAAGGGGATGTGCCCAGAAAGAAAGGTGGGGATTCAGAAGTGTGATTAGGGTATAGGGATGACCCATTTCTTTGGTTTGTTTCAGTATTCAAGAAATCGTTATTGAGTGCCCATCTCTTCTAGGCCAGTCTAGGTGCAGGGAATGTTCAAGGGAACAGATGGCCAGGGTTTTTACTGTCCTGGAACTCACAAGAGAGACACACAAGAAACAATAAGAAATCTCAGTTACAGAGAAGTGTTTCTAAAATGAAAAGGAAAAAAGGAAAGAGAATTCCCTGGTGGTCCAGTGGTTAGGATTCCAAGCTTTCAACACCGTGGCCGGGGCTCAGTCCCTGGTGAGAGAACTGACATCCCACAAGCCACAAGATGTGTCTAAAAAAAAAAAAAAAAAGTGAAGCGGGACGTGGTGTCTTCAGATGAGGAACCTCAGGAAGAACCCACTGCAGAGGTAACAAGGGTTGTGAGAAGGAAAGGCACTCGCCAAACATTCTGGCCAAGCAGTGATGCAGAGCCGTGAGAAAGCCACCCATTTTCCAGAAGACCCCATGGAGGGCAGAGGAAGAAGGGTGAGCAAATTAGGCTGAGGTCCAAAGCGTGGGCTGGGGGCCCATCGTGTGGGGGCTTGTAGCTCTGGGAGGAAATCTGAATTTTACTCTAGACTCAGTGGGATGAGCATAACAATGACAGCCCCTATTTTTATTTAAAAACAAAGTAACAGACCCACATTGCTGTGCTGAGAAGAGATTTAGGAGTGAAGTTGGAAGGAAGGAGTTAAGAGGGTGTCGTCCTTTTCCAACTGGGGCTGCTGCTGGCCTGGACTAATGTGGAGGAACAGGGCGTGAGATTGTGGAGGCAGGGTCTGTGGTGGTGGCTGCAAACTGGATGTAATAGAGGAGGGAAAGAAGAACCAAAGAGAGAAAAGGGAACACTTTTAACTGGATCTGTGGAGCTTGGGTGGTGCTGTTCTGTGCTGCCTGGAAGGGGGTCATGGGGGAGAAGGGATTATGCGGGAGGAGCCAAGCAACCTCCTTGGGACGACACAATCTGAGATGCCTATGAGACATCCAAGCCTAGGTATCAGATAGCCAGTTGGACATTTGAGACTGAAGCTTGGGGAGAAGTCGTGGTTGGAAACCTAAGTTTTGGAAATGTCAGCAGAGAGGAGACAGCATGTTTAAAGCCCCAGGACTGGATGAGGTGACCTAGGAGATGAGTGTGGAGGACACAGAAAGGATCCTGGCCAGGGACTCGGGGTGGGGGAGGCATCTCTGTGGGGGCGGGAGGAAGAAGGATGTAGTTAAAGGGGCAAAGAGTGACCGTGAAGTAGGCAGAGACTGTGAAGTTGGCAACTAGCCAAATGCTACAGAGAACCAGGAGAGGATTCATGGAGCAAAGTGGCCATGGGTTAGATAACATGACCTTGACTTTGACATGTGGCCATCGCCATGCAGTGGGGGGGGACTGGAGTCCTGCTTGAGTGAGGGGAAGGAAGAGAGTCACAGAGGGGAGGTGGAGGGAAGGGGAGGTCATCCTTTTAGCATGAAACTGTCACGAGCTCTCCGGCCCAAGGAAGCTCACACCCTTTCTGTGACAGAAGTAGGAAGGGCTGCGTTCGGGAAATGGGAGAAAGACAATTGCATGCTGAAAGGACGGAGCCATGGCCGCAGGCGAGACTGAGAGCAATGGGGAGACCGGGGCGGGAGGGGAGCACAGAGGCAGGGCAGAGGTGCTGCAGAAGGGTGTCTGATTTCTCAGAATGGAGGCACCGGTGGGTGTCACCCAGCCCAGCTCCCATCTCACGTTGCCGCCAGCACTGGGCACCTTCTCGGGTTCCCCTCTGGGTCCTGCCAAGGCCTGGGAATACCCACAAGGTGAAGGAAAGAACAAGCTTCACTCATTCATTTAAGAAATAGTCCCTGAGGCCTCCCAGGCATCAGGCCGCACAACCTCAGTGCGGGGAGCTCAGATCCACAAACAGGCAGTGCGATCCATCCGATGCAGGGGGAGGTGTGCTCTGAACTTGGGGGGTGGGGACCTTCGCTAGCTTGGGATTGGATGTTTGTGTGCCACCATTTCCCTTCACCCGCCCATCTGCTCATTCATTCATTCATTCAGATCACCCGTGCACACTTCCTAAGGCTTCCCTTGGGCGCAGTTTGGGCTGGGCAGTGCTGAGGATGGTGAGATGGTTCCTCTGGCACTCGAGCCTTGCCCAAGGCTCGGACACATGCCCACGATCGGAATCACATCCCAGGGCGATACGTGCCCCAACGGAAGCTGCACAGGGTGGACAGACAGGGTGAGGGTGCACGGGGCCGGCAGGAGCGGCCAGCCAGGGGAGAAGGAGCTGGGGAGAGGTGGGTCCCACTGGGCGGTCCCCGAGGGGCTGAGGCGGGGAGTGGGGTGATGATCAGGCCCCGCTGCCACTCCACACGGATGTCTCGTCCTGTCCCCGGGGGAGCCGGAACTGCATGGACGGCCCCCCGGGGGTGCCCCGTCTAATAAACTCGGTGAAGAGGACTGCGGCTCTGGATCCTGTGCCCAGGGCACCAGCTTCTGCCTGAGGCCTGCCTTTTCTCCCTCCTGGGGAGCCGAAGCCCCCAGCGTGGGGTGCTGTGCTTCCTTCAACATGCAAGGGATTTGGGCCCCCGGCCCCTCCTCCCTCAGACCCAGAGTGCAGACCCCCAGCCCCTCCTCCCTCAGACCCGGGGGTCCAGAGCCCTGGGCCCTTCTCTCAGCCTCAGGAGTCAAAGTCCCCAGGTTTCTTCTCTTTCAGGGACCCGAGAACCCTGGCCGCAGCTTTCTCCTCCCTCAGACCCAACAGTCGGGTTTCCAGGCGGGCGCGCTCGGCCCGGGTTCCCCGGCCGTTCCTGCCCGCGCCAACCCCCAGCCCACCCCTCCCCCCGCCCTCGCCAGGAGATCGGACCCTCAGCTCCCGCCTGCGTCCTGAAGGAAGCAGACGTCCCTCCGGGCTCCTCGGGGGTCGAGACCCCGCCCCCAGCCCCTCCTCCGCGGGCAGCCTTCCCACTCCCCGCCCCTCGTCCCCTTAAAATACCCCGGGTCCCTATGGCAACGGGAGCGGGCGACAGGTGCGGGTGTTATTTACGGGTCGAGCCCGAAATAGCCGGCGAGGGTGCAGGGGGCGGCGGATGGGGGCGAGGCCCCGAGTGCGCAGAGCGGCCGGGCGGGCGGGCGGCGGCGCGCGGAGCCGGCGGTTCGGAGGCCTCGCGGAGCTGGGGGCGGCGCGGCGCGGAGGCAGGAGAGCCCGCGGGGTCCCTGCCCGGGAACCGGGGGTGGGAGGCCCGAGGGAGGCGCCCGGCCTGGAGCAGGCCCGGCCCGGCCGGCCCTGGGAGCCCGGGGGAGGGGGAGGCGAGCGATCGCAAAGGGACGCCCAGTCCGTTCCGGGCCCCAGCCGTCCTTCGAACCGCGGCGGGACGTGGTCCCCACTTTCTGAGCCGCGGTGCGGACCACAGCCCCTTCATCTGAGCCCCAGTGCGGACCCCGGGTCCCCCTCCCGGGTCTCGGGGTGGGGGGTATCCCTCAGCTCCCTTCTCTGGGCCCCACGGTCTTCTCGGCCCCCAGTCCCCTCACAGCCCCCCGGGCAGATCTTCTCCGCTCTCCTCTCTGAAGGGCCAGGGAGAAGCCCCCACACCCACTTTCTGGAATTCCAGCAGGTCCCCAGCTTCCTTGCTCTGAACCCCAGCCAGGACTTTGCTGACCCCTCTCTGTGAAAGTTGGGGGGTCCTACTGCCTCTCTGACCTCCCCTTCAGAACCCTCTGCACCCCAGTTTTTCCTCTTTTGAACCCCAGAGGGGACCCAACTTTTTCTCAGACTCTGAGCCCAAAAGAAGCCAGAAAGCATCTCCCCACCCCACCCCCACACACGAGGACTTCAGCTCCCCTTCCTGAGAACCCCAAACTCTGAGCCTTAGGAGGAAGCTCGGATCCTTCCTCCCACCCCAGGAAACACAGTTTCCCTGTGGAAACACAGATTCCTCCCAGTGGGGACCCCAGAGCTGATCCTCAGAGCTTCTGCTGACCCTCAGTTCCTCCTCCTTCTGTAACCCTCCCAACCCCGCTCCAGGGTACCCAGGTTCTGGCCCTGAGGCTGGCGGAACTTTGCTTTCCTCTGATCCCATCTTCTTTGCTGAGCTTCTCTGGGTACCCGACCTCCCACCCCCCGCGAATCTCAGAGGCTTCTCAGTTCAGGATCTAGTATTTTCTCGGTATAGTATATCATCTAGTATATTAAGCCCCAGAGGTGACCTCGACTTCCCCATCTGAGGTTCCTGGGGCGACTGAGACCTTCCCTTTTCCGAGCCCCTCACCCCTGCTGCTAGACCCCAGGCGCGCCCCCCCTCCCCGCCCCGCAGAAGCCCGCTTCAGCTCTGCCTTCTCGGCCCGGAGCCCCACCGCCCGCCAGGCGCGATGATGATGTGGTCCAACTTCTTCCTGCAAGAGGAGAACCGCCGGCGGGGTGCCGCGGCCCGGCGGCGGGCTCGCGGGCAGCCCAAGGCCCAGATGACCCCGGAGCGCGAGGGCAAGATCAAGCTGGCGCTGCTGCTGACCTCCGTGGGCGCCACGCTGGCCGTGCTGGCCGTCGGCACCGAGTTCTGGGTGGAGCTCAACACGTACCGGGACAACGGCAGCGCCGTCTGCGACGCGGCGCACCTGGGCCTCTGGAAGATGTGCACGAAGCGACTGTGGCAGGCGGACGTGCCCGCGGGCAGGGACACCTGCGGGCCCGCCGAGCTGCCCGGAGGTGAGGCCGCCGCCCGCCCCGCGCGGGGGCTGGGACCCCCGCAGGCCGCCGAGAGGCTGCTGTCTGAGACAGCCGAGCCCCAGAGAGGGCGAGCTTGCACCCTCAGAAGGAGCCCCCCCACCCTGCCCACCTCAGCCTGTGCTCCCGGGAGTAACTCTGCCCCAGGAGCACACCCTGCGGAGAGGGAGTCTGTACCCCCAAACTAGCCTGCGTCCCCAGACCAGCCCCAGACTATCCCAGGACCTCCAAAGCTCCGGACCTCCAGCACAACCCATGATCCCAGACATTTGTGTGCCCCTGGACCAGCCTGTACCCCCAGAGAACCCATAAGATAGATAGAAAGACAGATAATAGTTGTGTCTGACTCTGTGTGACCCCATGGACTGTAGCCCGCCAGGCTCCTCTGTCCATGGGATTCTCCAGGCAAGAATACTGGAGTTGGTTGCCATGCCTTTCTCCAGGGGATCTTCTCCACCCAGGGATCCAACCCGGGTCCCCTGGATTGCAGGCAGATTCTTTACTGTCTGAGCCACCAGGAAAGCCCCAGAGAAACCTTGTGTCTCTGATCACAGCCTGAGGCCCGAGACCCAGATGGTGACTCTGGACACAGTTGGTGCCTCAGACAGCCTGTGTCTCCCCAGAAACGCCCCCGCCCCCCTGAGACAGTCTGCTCCCTTAGAGAAAGACTCTGGGTTCCCGATGTCAGCTTGCTCTTCCCACTCTGGAGACAGCCTGCGGCCCGACCCCGCAGGCCCTTGGGAGGCAGCCCGTCTTGACGCCTACTGCAGAGCACAATCTGCTGTTCCCTCCTACCGAGTCCGCTAAGACAGAGCTCTCAGGAGACACCTCCCACCTCCCGGGGCAGCCCTCCTGCTTCCTGGGAGATCTTTCACCTCGCGTCCTCAGACTGGACACTCCAGCCCCCCTCGCTGTCTCTTCCAGACACCCCCACAGCCCTCACTTTCCCACAGAGTGGCTCTTTCACCCCCAGCCCTGCCAGAGAGCTATCCCATACCTCTCACTCTCCCAGACAGGACATGCCATGCCCTAAACTTATACCAGTGGAGACACCCTATACCCCCTGGGAACAGAGATGAGATCTAACTCCACCTCTACTGACCCAAAGAAACTATCTGACACCCGTCAGAGCCCATTTAGAATGTTGCATGCTTAATTGCCCGCACGACATCGCCAACCCGCTTTCCTCTCCAAAGGATGTCTTATCATCTCGTGTGTGTTCAGTTGCTTCAATTGTGTTCAACTCTTTGCAACCCTATGGACTGTAGCTGCCAGACCCCTCTGTCCATGGAATTCTCCAGGCCAGAATACTGGAGTGGGTTGCCATTCCCTTCCCCAGGGGATCTTCCTGACCCAGGGATGGAACCCAGGTCTCCCGCATTGCAGGCGGATTCTTTATACACACCCTTGATAGCAAAATGGGATGCCACACGCCTTTGTTCTGAGATACCCACCCACTCAGTGTGCAGACGGGCTCTTTCTCACCCCGCAGAGCCTCAAGCAGATGTTCCCAAATTTTTGAGAAATGGGATGCTCTGGTGAAAAAAAAGTGTTAGATGTTGTAAATTAAATATGCTCTAATAAAAAATTTTGATAGAGATAAAGTCAGAAATATGTATTAGATGCTTATGTAGTGAGTGCCTGGCTCTGTCATAAGTATTTCATCTGCATTAACTTATCAATCCTCGTAGCAACCCTGCAAGTAGTTATTATCATCCCAACCCCTATACGTAGTTATTATCATCCTCAAAATGAAGAGCAAGAAGTGTATGTAAATAGATCTGGACTTCCATGATGGTCCAGTGGTTAAAACTCCACACTGCCAATGCAGGGGGCACAGGTTCAATCCCTGTTTGGGGAACTAAGATCCCACACATCACTGTTATGCAGCCAAAAAAAAAATTAAATTTAAGTATATGCAATTGGAAAAGAACTGAAGTTTTGTTTTGTTTTGTTTTGTTTTTTAAGAGAGAGAGGAAGAAATATGAATGGCTCCATCTAAGCACCCAGGCTAGTCATATGGGGTTTGAACCCTGGTCACCTTGTTCTTAACAACCACAATATACTGCATCTCATTAGTCTGTAAATATGCCCCAGAGGTCCTCACTGCACTGGATGGGATGTCCCATCCTGCCTAACTGCATACTCTGGGGTCCTTCACATCCCTTGATGTCTCCCTAATGATCAGAAAGGGCTTCAACTTTCTTAAAGGACCATCCCCATCAGCCCACAGTCCTGACCCTTCAGAGGACATCTCCCAGCTTTCAAAGTTTCAGAAATATCCCACACATCTCATAGCCCATCAAAGGACATCCCCAAGCGGGGATGACCCATATCCCACTCTTTTTCCAAATGAGATGTACCATAGCCTCTGAGATAAGAGACAAGATAATCTAAATCATTAGCAGCCAAAATGGGGTGCCAGATAGCCCATACTCTCTCAGAAGATGTACCACGCCCTCTCACTCTCTAGATGAGACTTTCCTTTTCCCTTGCAGAGGAAGACCGCGTTTCTCCCCCCACCACTACGGACAGCATCCTTGCCCTTTGCTCCACTGCACAAAGCACCTTCTGCTTCTTGCTGTTGCAGAATCAGGATTCACTGCTCCAGCCAGGATATGTCATGCCCTTCTCCTTCCCTCCAAGTACCAGGCGGAGTGTCCACATCACCTCACCTGACTCGGGAGCTTACCTCTTGTCCTTCAGCATCCCTCTTCAGTTTGAAAAGTTGCTTCCCACTTCCCAAGACCACCTGCCCTCTTTCCTGTTTCCTGCCCCCCTCTTATTTGCAACCTCTCTCCTCCCTTCTCATCCTTCTGCTCAGTTTCCCCATCTGTGGAATGAGAAAGCTGATTCTAGGTGTGTTCTATGGGAAATTCTGGCTTTAAAATGCAACTTAGAAAGCATCTCCCCCACCCCCACCCAAAGTGTGGGGTTCCTTAAACTTCAAGTACACAGAGTTAGATGAATCATAACTTTTCAGCTTATGTCACAAAATCATTACCAGCCTTTGCTGGTTCTTCCTTGTGCATTATTTTACATTCTTTTTTAAAAAAATTTATTGTTCCTAGTTCATCTCTTTAATACATTGGATATATATTTTAACTTGGAAAATATACAGTGTTATTTTTATATATGTATTTTAATTTACATAAATGATATCATGCTCTAGATTTTTTTTCCTATTTGTGATTTTTTTTTTTTTGCTCAATGCTGTGTTTCTCAAATCTCTCCAATCTAATTTGTTATTCTAGTTCGTGGCTACTTTGTGCTGCAGAGGCTTGCCTGGGGAGCATCTATCACATTTACTTCTCTATTCCCATCGAGATGGACACTAGGTTGATTATTCTGACTCCCTGTTTTTATAAACAGTGTTGCAATGAAGAGCAGGCAATACATGTATTTTCCTGCATATGGTTTTTTTCTGGATATATACCCAGAAGTGAAATTGCTGGGCTGTAGGGTATAAACATACTTCATTTCATAAAGTACTCCAAAGTGCTTTCCAAAAGAGGCCAGTACCTATTACACCCCCAGATGTTTCCTCTTATCCTTCTTATCCTTCTAAGTGCTTAATATTATCCTTTTAATATTTGCCAATCTAATTGATCTAAAGTGGCATCTCCCTGCTGATTTAAGTTGCATTTCTTTGATCCCCGTTGAGATGGAGCATCTCTTTATGTTCTTGTGAGTAATCCGGGCTTCTCCTATGAACTGACTATTCATCTCCTTTGCCCATTTTTCTACTGGGTTCCCTCTCTTTTCTTGCTGATCAGCAGGGGTTCTTTGTGTAGTCTAGACAGGAAACCTTTCTGAGGTAGAGAATCTCTTCTGAATGTGTTAACCTTCTGCCTGGATCTTGGTATGCTCTGTTGAATAAAGCGGTCATCCGTTTCAAATCTCATTTGACCCTAACAAGCCATATGACAGAGTCAGGGAAGAGACTATTAACTCACTTTACAGAGGAAGAGTCAGAAGCTCAGAAAGGTCAATAGCCCTCTCACAGCCACAGATCTGGACTTTTCAGCTCTGGATTGGAGTCCCAGCTCCTGGATAGCTGTGTGCTAGCAGGTGGTTTTCCTTTTCTGGACATCATTTCTCTCTATCAGGGATGCTAATGTCATATTTCTGGGTTATTGTGAGCTTTGCTAAATGTCCAGCCCTGAGCTTACACTAGGGATCTCCATGTCATTACCTCTCTTTTTCTCTCCCCTGCTCCTACAGAAGCAAATTGCACTTATTTTAAATTCTTCACCACGGGAGAGAATGCACACATCTTCCAGAGAACCACAAAGAAAGGTAAGACCATTTCACCCGGCAGAGGGGATGTGCTGACCACACCAAAGGAGTTCTTTTCTTTTTAAATTGACACAGAGCTTGTTTACAATATTGTGCTGGTTTCAGGGGTACAGCGAAATGATTCCATTATTTTTTTCAGATGCTATTCCCTTATTTATTAGAAGGTATTGATTATACTTCTCCGTGCTGGACAATAAGTCCTTGTTGGTTATCTACTTTATGTACAGTAGTTTGTATGTTAGTCCCAGAGGAGTTCTTGATAGCATCATGCTCTTCTCTGCTTTGCCGCAGGATGGGCACAAGCTCCTAAGCCTTGGGAGATCTCACCTTTGGGGAGAGGTGGTTCTTGAGAACCCTCTGTCCAGGGTTCCAGCCTCAGCTCCGCCTTTGCCACTTGCTGTGTTACTTTGGGCAAGTCCCAGCCCGTCTCTGTGGGCGGTACAATAACATCTCACAAGTGTGATTTCCCACACGCTAAACACAGCCCTGAGGGTTTCATTTATAAGACTTCCAGTCCTTTCCATGACTCTGCAAGACAGGGGCTTTATCTTAATCTTCCAGATGAGAAAACGGAAGTCCATAAATGGTTTATTTTCCCAGGAAGTGACAGAGAGAGGCACAATTTAAACCCAAATAATTCCAACTCCAACTCAGTGCTCTTCTATAAAGTATGCTGTGAAAATGGAAATGTTTCTGAATCTGCACTAACTAGTATGGCAGCCACTGACCAAATGTGGCTGGTGCAACTAAGACACTGAGTTTTCACTTTTGTTCCATTTAAATTCATTTCAAACGAAAACACCATCTGTGGTTACTGGCTACATACTAAACAATGAAACTCTTAAGACTTTACCCTTTCTACCCTAACCACACTTTCTTCACCACCCCAGTACCTCGGCATCCTCACCAGTAAAGGAACTGTGATCATGTCATCAACCTTATCTGGTCTTTATAAGGATTTAAGGAGATGATGCAGCTAAAACATACAGTATGATGCCTGGCACATAATAGGTCCTCATTAAACAGTGGTGTCTTACCCTCTCCACTCCTTCCACTCCTTTCTTTCTTATCTTGGTGCTAAGTGGTCTTGGGCAAGTCACTGTGCCTGCCCACCCACCCCACCCCACCCTCACCCCCACCCCAGGATAGTAAAATATTCTCAGGGCACATCTATGGCCCAAGTGCTGTGTGCCAAGTTGTACACTGGGCACATTACATGGGTGATTTCTAATCCTCACAGCAGACCAAATAGGGACTTTTGTCTTGATTTTTCTAGAAGAGGAAAGTGAGGCTCAGAGAAGTTCAGTGGCTTTAGCAGAATGTTCCATCTAGGAAGTAGCTGGGGAGAATTCCAACTTGGATCATCCCACTATAATATACTGCCTTCTCTGTTGTCTCCCACACACACACACACAACCCACTGCCTCAGTTTCCTCACTGGTAAACAAAGTGACCAGATCATAAATAATAATTGGTAGTTCCCATCTCCTTCTAATCCTGGCTCTGCCCATTCTTGGCTCTGTGACCTTAGGCAAATAACTGACCCTCTCTGAGCCTTGGTTCCTTCAACAGTATAAGTGAAACAGTATAAGTAAAATATTGGCTCTGCTACTTGAAAATTCTTCTCTAGTCCTGACTCTTTCGTATTCCTGGTTCTGAGTGCCTATAGGGGAGTTCTGCCCACTTCCTACATCCAGTGTTGTCTATTTCCCCTCCCCTTCCTCGCAGAGGTGAATCAGGCAGCTGCAGTGATAGCAGTGCTAGGCTTGGCAGTTATGGCCCTGGGGTGCCTCTGTATCATCATGGTGCTCAGCAAAGGTGCAGAGTTCCTGCTCCGGGTTGGAGCCGTCTGCTTTGGCTTCTCAGGTGAGGGTTGAGAGCCTACAGACCAAGGATACTGCATGTTAGGAGATCTGGACTTCAACCCCTGTTGCATGCTGGGAGGTCGGGTCTTCAAGCCCTGTTGCATGCTGGGAAACCAGGTCTCCAAGCCCTGCTGCATGCTGGGAGGTCAGGTCTCCAAGCACCATTGCATGCTGGGAGGTCGGGTCTTAAAGCACTTAAAGTATTGCATGCTGGGCAGTTGTGTTTCCAAGCACTGTTGCATTCTGGGAGGTCGAGGGAGGTCTCTAAGCACTGTTGCACATTGAGAGATCAGGTCTCCAAGCACTGTTGTGTGCTAGGAGTTGGCAGAAGCTCAAGTGCTATAGAACTCTCAGAGATGGAAGAGTTCTAAGTTCTGCTGCTGACTCAAACACTTTTTTATATTGGAATCTAGGGCCTCCAAGCACTGTTGTCTGCTCATAGGGTGAGGGAGATCCCCATGGGCTGTTGCATGCTGGGAGGTTGAAGAAGTTCTCTAAGCGTCAATTGCATGCTGGGAAGCACAACGGCTATAGTACTCTTAAATATGAGAAAATTCCAAGCACTTTTGTTGGCCGAGAACTGAAGGTTCTCTAGACACGCTTTTAGATTTGCACTTGGAGTCTGTAAGAACTGTTGCATTTTTGGAGTTGAAAGTCCAAAAAGTCTGCATCTTGTGAAATGTAGCCCTCACTGGATCAGATGCTTTCTAAGGTAGATAGATAGGTCATTCATTATATAAGTTTCATTTGTCTTTCATGGATCTACTGAGCACCTACTATGTTCCATGCAGTAGGCTAAGGGCTGGAGATATAAGATTCATAAGACAGACACTGTGTCTGCCTTCATAAAGCCTAGATTCTGACAGAAATAGATAGTAACCAGCAATTACATATATAATTCAACTATAGTTGTGATGAGAGTTATGATAAAGCATATAAGGGGTACACACTGGGGTGGGAGGTATGTCAGGGAAAATTTCTAAGAAAGTGGTATTAAAGCTGATAATCAAATGAGGAACAGAAATTACCCAGAGTATGGTGTTGACAGTAGTGGTGGCCATGTTGGTGGTGATTGTGTGGTGGTAGTGATGCTGGTAATATGGTAATAGTGATGATAAACTGTATGTGTGAAGTCTGTGAAATATTTGGCAAGTTTGAGGAACAGAATGAAGAACAGAGCATAAAGCAGGGCAGAGTTTGCACAAATGTACAAGGTAACCTTAATCCGAAGATGAAGTAGAGACTTGGTGAAAAATGAGGCAAGGGAGATATGAGTGGTCAAGAGCACACTCAAATAGAAATGATTAATAATCACATTCTTCAAAACTATTCACTCATTAGACTGTGTCAGGTCTCAGTTGTGGCACCTGGGATCTTTCACTGCAGCTCACAGATGCTCTAGTTGTGGCGTTCGGGCTTGGTTGCTCTACACAAATGGGGTCTTAGTTCCCCAACCAAGAATCAAATCCACATCTCCTGCATTGCAAGGCGGACAACCAGGGAAGTCCCAGTAATCACATTCTTATTATTGTTTTGTGCCTTAGAGAGATTCCTAAATAAAGGGGGGAAAGTCAGTCACTCCCTTTCCTTTGTTTGATTTATCCATTAGTTCACTTAAATCACTGCTATGCACACAGACCCATTACACTATGCATATGTGTGAAGACTATACAAGAAGGAAAGGTTAAGGAGATTCTCATCTGGCTAAGGACATAGAAATGATACAAATTATCACACAGTTATAAACGGCAGTCAGTGCCCAAGAAAAAGTAGAGTCCTGTGAGAGTGCCTAATGAGGGCACTTGATTTAAAGCAGAATTAGAGAAGGCCTCTTGGAGGAGGTGACACTTACAATGTCAAAGTATGTGTAACCAAGCTAGAAAAACGTTTGGTGAATTTCAGGTCCTGAAAGACAGCCAGTGAGGTTGGAGCATGGAGAGTGAGGATACTGGTATAAAAGACAAACCAGGAGGGATTTTTCTGGTGGTCCAGTGGTTAAGATTCCATACCCCCAAGCGGACCAGGGTTCGATCTCTGGTCAGGGAAGTAGATCCCACATGCCACAACTAAGGTTTCACATGCCACAACTAAAGAGCCCATATGCCGCAACACAGCACAGCCAAGAAACTATTAAGAGATGAGTGATTTTGAGGAAATTGCTTTCCATCTCTGAGTTAAAATTTCATATTTATGAACTCATGCATTCAAGTATATATTTATCAAGTACCTATCCTATCCCTCCATCCATCTATACTCTGATCTGTCAATCATCTCCCTCCCCACTGCCTTTTCTTCCTTGCTTTCCCCCCATTTTTCTCTTTCTCTTTCCATTCATATATTCGTCTATCTGTCCATCCATCCATTCATTCAATGATACAGTATGTCTTTAATATCTAGTAATTGCTGGATGCTGTGTTAGGTACTACTGGGGACAGAATGAAGACCAGATTTAGATGATTCCTGTTGTCATGGGACTTTTAGCTTGGTAGGAATTTGGTGTTGGTGTTATTATTGAACTCATGCCTGTGTTATTCTTGAGGATACCATGAAAGTGTGGACGTTAAAGTGTTTTATGAAAGTCTCGGGCCCAAAAATGTTCTGCAAATTGTACAACCAAGTAAAAGTGAAGGATAGATTTGACTCCACAGTTATTTTTCTTATACTGGATATCGGGGCAGGTGGGGGTTTCGAGGTCTCCCTAGACCTCACACATGCTCAGGTTATATTGTTTTTCTCCATGAAGTATATGTGTCAGATATACTATGTTTTAGGGATATGAAACAAACAAGTTCCTGGCCCTCACAGGTTTATGCTCTATTGGGAGAGATAGAAATCAGGCAAATAAATAACACTTATATAAATTAACATATGTTGATAACTACCAATTGTGATTAATGCTATAAATGAACAGTAAAGAGTATAATGGAAACCTGTAACTGGGTAGACCCAACAGAGACTTAAGTGGTGGTGGTCAGGGAAGGCTTCTCGGAAGAAGTGTAACTTAAGTAGGGATGTAGAGAATGAGGATGTGTGATGTTGGCTTAGGGAGGGGTAAGCAGTTATTCCAAGCACCATAAAGGTCTCCAGGCTTGAACAAACTGGGTGCATTCAAGTCCTGAAAGAAATCTTACACCATACCACTGTAGGATGGGAAGGGCAGCTTGAGAGGAGGCTGAAGTAGGGCAGGGCCGGGTCCCATGGACCCTTCTAGGTCGTACGAGAGAGGCCTTGCTTCTGCCCCTAGCCACTACCCCTGAGTTCTGGGCACAGCTGGCTTCTTTTCGTCCATTTGGGTCTCAGCCCAAGTGGCTGTTCTGATGATGCCATCTCGAGTCCCAGCCCCCGCCCCTGGATGCCACACCCCTTCCCATCACTCTGTTTTTATCTCCTTCCTAGTGTGCATCACTGTCTGAAATTACCCTGTCTTCTCATGTGTTTACTTTGAGAGTTACAGCCTGCCTGCCCACAGGCCAGCAACAGCCCATAAATGTACTTTGTCTGGCGGGCAGTGTATAGAGGTTTCTCTGAGCCAGTATTTAAACTCACCCAATATTTTGGGTGAATGCCCCCCAGGAAATAATAATCAGTTTTCAAAATTCTAGCTGTTCTTGGAAAACCAGAAAATCTAGTCAGTTAAGTCCCTGCTTCTGGTAAGCTGCCGTTGGCTGAAACTGGGTCTGGGCCACCCTTTGTCATTGTCCCCACTACACCTGCCTGCTCATCTGTTTGTACTTTCTCTTTGTCCCCTGGAGGCCTCTGACTTTTGCAAGCCTGGGTTTATTTGTTTACCATCTGCCTTCTCCAAGTAGAACATAGGTTCTGTGAGGGTCTTTGTTGGTCTTGTTCCTTTCTTTTTTTTTTTTTAATCAAATTGCATTACAACTTGCCTGTTGTCTTTTCATTTTGTAATCTGCCATCACTCTTTTTTCTTTTCAGCTTAATTGGCATATGAGTGACAAGTATAAATTATGTGCATATATACATATAGACACTTTATATGGGCTTCCATGATGGCTCAGACAGTAAAGAATCTGCCTGCAATGCCAGAGACCCGGGTTTGATCCTGGGTCAGGAAGATCCCCTGGAGGAGGGCATGACAACCCACTCCAGTCTTCTTGCTTGGAGAATCCCATGGACAGAGGAGCCTGGTGGGCTACAGTCCGTGGGGTCGCAGAGAGACAGGACTGAACACACAGCACAGCACATACATATATATACATGCTATTGTATATAAGGTGTGTTATGTTGCTGGGTTTTCATTTGTTCGTTTTGTTTTTTAGCCACACTGTGTGACTTGCAGGATCTCAGTTCCCTGACCAGGGATTGAACCTGGGCCATGGCAGTGAAAGCGCCAAGTCCTAACCACCACGCCACCCAGGAACTTCCCTCCCACTTGATGTTTTGATATACATCATAAAATGGTCATGACTATCAAGCTAGTTGACACGTTCATCACCTCACATACTAATCGTTTGGTGGTGGTGTTGTTGTTGTTTTGTAGCAAAAACATTTGAGATCTCTCTTAGCAAGTTTTACGTATTTGGTATATTAACTATAGTCACCTATGCTATGCTTAGTCGCTCAGTCATGTCCGACTTTTTGTGACCCCATGGACTGTAGCCCGCCAGGCCCCTCTGTCCATGGAATTCTCTAGGCCACAATACTGGAGTGGGTAGCCTTTCCCTTCTCTGGGAGATCTTCCCAACCCAGGGATCGAACCCAGTCTCCCGCATCGCAGACAGATTCTTTACCCTCTGAGCCCCCAGGGAAGCCCATGGTCACCATACTGTACAGCAGACCTCCAGAACTGATTCCTCTTGCAGCTGGAAGTTTGTACCCTCTGATCAGCATCTCCTCGTTCCCCCCTCCCCTCAGTCCCTGGCAACCACCGTTCTACTCTCTGCGTCTGTGGCTTCAACTAAGTTAGATTCCATCATCACTCTTCACTAAAGTCTTGATGGAGTCTCTCTTTTTTAAAATTATTTTTACTTATTTATTTATTTGGCAAAAGGAGAAGGGGGCAGTGGAGGATGAGATGGTTGGATGGCATCACTGACTCAATGGACATTAATTTGAGCAAGCTCCAGGCGATAGTGAAGGACAGGGGAGGCCCAGCGTGCTGCAGTCCATGGGGTCGCAAAGAATCAGACACGATTTGGCGGCTGAACAACAACGACAGCAGTTATCCGGCTGTGCCAGGTCTTAGTTGCGGCATGGGGGATCCAGTTTCCTTACCAGGAGTCCAACTCCAGGCACACTGCACTGGGAGCGTGCAGTCTCAACACTGGACCACCAGGGAAGTCCCTTGATGGAGTCTTAATTTGCCTTTTGATTCTTGATTCTGTGACTCTTGATTCCTTGGTTTGCTTTATTCTTTTTTTTTTTTTTAAGCAATGAAAGACACATACAAATTACCGTTTGAACCTTTTTAAAAAAAAAAAAAACACCTTTATTTTCTATTTTGACAATGCAGCACAGCATGCAGAGTCTTATTTCTCTGACCAGGGATCGAACCCACGCCCCCCTGCACTGAAAGCATGAGTCTTAACCATTGAACTACCAGGGAACCCTGCACCGTTTTAAGTGCCCACTTCTGTGGCGTAAGTTCATTCACACAGTCGTGCAACCATCCCCACCACCCATCTCCAGCACTTTAGCATCTTCTCCAGTTAAAACTCTCTCCCCATTAAACACGAACTCTCTGCTCCCCCCTTCCTCTCCCCGGGCACCCACCTTCTACTCTGTCTCTGTGAACCTGGGTCTTGTTCTCTCTCTCCGGCTTCCAAAACTGTGCCTGCTATAGAGCAGATGCTTCGTAAGTGGTCGTTGAAGGGGTGCTAGTGAAACCACAGAAATATGTCTCGGGTTGGGGGCACTGGGAGGCTCCAGTCCTTGATATCTCAGTGCTGAAGGAATTCAGCAGGAGGCAAAGTGATGGATAAGAAGTGATCTAGTAGAAGAGCACGCTTGTAAGGCTTGTAAGTGGGCAGTTGAGAGGGTGCCCGTGCTGAGAACTTAGTGGGCTACAGTTTTATAAACAAGAGAAAAGTGGGGAGGGGAAGAGGAGCCCCTGCTCCCTCATTCCTAAGTCCACGTCCAGCTTCCATCATCTGCTCCTCCTCCATGTCAGGGAGTTTTCTTGTCCCTACATTGTCAAACCCTGGGTCGGGACGATCCCCTGGAGCAGGGCATGGCAACCTCCTTCAGTGTTCTTGCCTGGAGAATCCCATGGACAGAAAAGTCTGGCAGGCTAGAATCCACGGAGTTGCAAAGAGTCAGACACGACTGAACAACTAACACACACACACACACACACACACACACACACGGTCAGAGGAGGACTGTCACAGTGCAATGGAAATGAACAAAAAGGTGATCACATCCACTAAAATAAGGTAAAAGTCCTCAGGTTTCAGCATAATGTCCCCTCGTCTTCATATTTTTGCTTTTGGTGCACGTGCCCGGAGAAGCGTGTCCTAGGGTCATTAACTTCCTGAGCCCACTGGGCAGGATGTGGGTCTCAGGCCACCACTGTTTTATTCTGTGTGGGCATGTCTCATGCTGCATGGTTTGATTGCTCAGCAAGCCTGCTTGGTTTTGGTTTTGTGGTTAAGCAAACCTGCTTTTTTTTTTTTTGGCTGTGCCATACAGCTCACAAGGATCTTAGTTCCCTGACCAGGGATCAAACCCATGAGCCCTGCAGTGGCAGCATGGAGTCCTAACCACTGGATCTCCAAGGAATTCCCTGGCATGTCTTCTTGAATGGTCGTTAACTTACAGGGGTCTCCCAAACATTCTCCTTTACTCCTGATCCCCTGGGGGGATTACCTGTTTAATCACCTCCTTTGTCCCTTCTCTCCGCCCCGTCACTAGGAGGGGTCCCTCAGGTTTCTGGCTTGAGGAAGCATGTTTTGGGGGCTATATTGGGGTAGGTGCTCAGGCCTCAGTGGGGGACCCCTGAGGCCTGAGGACCATGTCTGTTCTCTCCTCACAGGCCTGCTGGTCCTCGTCAGCCTGGAGGTCTTCCGGCATTCCGTGCGAGCCTTGATGCAGAGGGTCAGCCCTGAGCCCCCCGCAGCCCCGGCCCTGACCTACGAGTACTCCTGGTCCCTGGGCTGTGGCGTGGGGGCCGGCCTGGTCCTGATGCTGGGCGGTGGCTGCTTTCTGCTGCTCACCCTGCCTCCCGGACCCTGGAGTCCCCTCTGTCCCAAGTGGGGCCAGCGGGCCCCCTAGCGCCACCGTCATGCCTTCTCTCAGCAACTTCCCAATGCCCCTCCACCCTCCCCATCATTCCCTTTGCATCTTTCACCCCATGCCCCAGAGAGACTGTGTTCTCCGGACTATGGGGCCCACGCTGTTTGCACAAACCTGCCTCTCCCCCTCGTAAATACCTTTTTCCTCTGTAAATATGTTTTATTTTCCTCCATGGCTGGATTTGGGTTGCTTGGGGGTGGGACGGGGCGAGGATTTTTTTTTGCAAACGAGGGTCCCCAGGGAAGACTGCTGGGGGCCTGATGGGTAACTAGCGGGTGGGGGTAGGTGGGCGAGGTCAGGGGGTCTTGGGACGGAGTTGGACCTTCTCGTTGCCCAGATTGGGATGTATTCAGCTGTGGGAGAGACTTCTGGGGAGAGTGGGGATGGGAGAATCTCTGGGCCTGACCCGGCTGTGGTCTGATTTAGGATTAAAGGTTTGGAAGTTTAACAACTTTGGAGTCTGCTGTGATGTGGGGTGTGTATTCCAGGGTAGGGAAAAGGGGTCACTGTGCTCTTCAGAAAACCTGCGCCTGCTGCTCATCAGCCCCAAAGTCAGTGAACCCATAGTGAGTAATGGAAAACCCAATGTGGAACACATTGGAGCCCGCCAGGCTCCTCCGTCCATGGGCTTCTCCAGGCAAGAATACTGGAGCGGGTGGCCATGACCTCCTCCAGGGGATCCTCCAGACCCGGGGATCGAACCCCGGTCTCCCACGTTGCAGGCGGGTTCTTTACCATCTGAGCCTCTTGGAAAGTCGCCTGGTGTCCTCGTGTAGGGAGGAGACCGGGACGCTGAGGGCGGACAGCAGGCAGGCAAGGTGAGGAGACACAGTGAGAAGACGACCGTCTCCAAGTCCAGGAGGGCTGCCTGGGAGAGTCCCGTCTCAGCACCGGGGAGCCACAGGCCCTGCGGACGCCCGGACCTCAGGCCTCCGGTCTCCAGCGCCCCGAGACAGAGCATTTCAGGGCCTAAGCCCCCTAAGCCTCCAGTCTGGGGGCTTTGTCAGGGCCGCCCCAGCAAGCGGGCACAGCTATCAGTGCCTGGCAGGGGGCCTCAGCGGGAACAAACACAAATGTACACGTGGCTTTGGACGTGGGGATGGGCAGCATCTGGAGGGCTTGGAGGCGCGTTCTAGAATCAGCCTAGATGCCTTGATGAGACTGTTGGTAGGAGTACGACGTGAAGGGAGTCCTGAGGAGGACTCAGGAAGAGGGGAGGAGAGCTGCGGAGAAAGTGTCCACCATCTCAGAGACACTCGATCATCAGGAGCAGGACGTTGGCGGAAGACGGCCCCCACAGCTCTCAGGGAGCAGGCCAGGAGCCCGGTGTCAAGTTCGAGCCTTGAGCCCTTGGGCCCAGCCTCTTCCCGGGAGGACCAGTGTGCGCCTTTCGACTCAGAAATCTCAACTGGAGCCAAGAATGAATTCTTCAGTTAGGTAGGCTGAATCGCTGAGGCTGAGCTCAGAGGCCAAAGTCTCTTAAATTTAAGTTTAAAAATATTTAAATACGGAATATGAGCGGGCTTATGACTACAAATGTTTAAATATTGTGAGTGTGAGTCTCTTAAGTGCTTCTATATTTAAGAATAAATTATAATGTGATTATATATAGTATATGTATTACATAAAACATTATATATAATTTATAGAATTTACTCTAAGTTCAGTTAAATATATTAACAGTATATATATTTTATGTGTAATATATATATAATTACAAAAATATTATAAATTATCATACTTAATATAAACAGAAAATAATATAATATAAAATTCTAACATATAATATGAAATTATATATAATATATACCAGCATTATATATGATTATAACATAATAAGCAGATTTTATACTAATATTATGGATATCATATATTATATATTCATATAAATGTTTCTATATTTAATTATAGATTATAAATACAATTATATAATCATATATAATTATAACATTATAATTTTATATAAATATATTAATATTCTATCATATTATATAAATAGAGCATTCATAAGATACATACATGTAACAATATTTCTACAACATAATGTATTATATAAATAATGTAATTTATATGTAACATATGAATATATTACTTATATTTGTAATATTATTTATACAATATAACCTATATACATATAATACCTATATATATGATATATTTATACAATGTAATTAGACACATATAACACATATATGTACCATGATAATTACACTGCATAAGTCTTATAATGTTCATAACGTGGTTATGACTCATCCCCGGGCTGGAAGCCGCTTCTTCAACAGCAGATCGCTCGTCCTCCGGGAGGGGCGGTGTAGCCCTCTCTGGAATAACTTCGGCTGCGCCCCGCAGGGATCCTTCTCCGCGTTCCTTGCGCCCTGAATCAGCGTGGTGCTGAGGGTCCTGGTGCAGAGCCGGGCAGGTGCGGCCCCTTCTTGTTGGAGCAGCAGCAATGCTGGGCTGTGGCCGAGAGTGGGGCGCTGGGCCCCGACTGTCCGGTGTGGACCCTGGCCCCCCTTTCACGGCTGGAACGGCTTGCTCACCCTCTGAGGCTCAGCTCCCGCACGCACGTGTGCTTGCGTGCCTCTTAGAGACCCCGTGGAGGGAACGCCGCAGTCATCCCTGCAAAGCCCTGGAAGACCGCCAGGCGCGGGTCACAACTCCATCGGTCTTGCCGTTACTACTGTTCATCCCGTGGCACTTCGGCCGGGCGTACAGTAGAGTCAAAGGGGACCCCCGTTGGGCTGAGAGTCCAGCGATGGAAACATATTAATCACGTAATCACACTAATGAATGTGTAATTATAAACTGGGATAAGTGCTGGGAAAAGAGATCGTGGAGAGTTGGTTTTTTTCCTACTTGATGATGTGCCCAGAGAACTCGGGGAAACCCAGAGAAGTCTGCCCTGAGGGCGGGGTCTTCAGGTCTCAGGGGGATGGGGGAATGACTCTGTCCAGTGGGCTCCGAACCCTGCACCCTCTTCCCACCTGGGGTCTTTGTGGCTTTTCCAAAAGTGAGAGAAGGAAATAGACAAATACCTGGAATCATATTATACTATGGGATAATTTATCAGACCGTTCACTTGCATCTCATCACCTAATATTTTTTGAAGTGAAGGAAAATAGAAGTTTCTTGAAGTCTACCACCTTTTCTGTCCTTTTTGTTTACATGTTGTTTATACTGACTTTTTGGAGCACAATTTCAAGCTTCCAGAGACGTTGCAAGAATCAAAACAGTGCATGCATGTGTGCTCACTCATGTCTGACTCTTTGCGACCCCATGGACCATAGCCTGCCAGGGTCTCCTGTCCATGGGATTCTCCAGGCAAGAATACTGGAGGAGGTTACCATTTTCTCCTCCAGGGGATCTCCTTGACCCAGGGATTGAACCTGCATCTCTTGCATCTCCTGCTTTAGCAGATGGATTCTTTACCACTGCACCACCTGGGAAGACCCCTAGAGACATATACTCTTTACTCAGATTCGCCTATTGCTAACATTTTACCCTATGTCCAGATGTGTGGGGTTTGTGTGTAGGGGGGTGGTTTTTTTATTCAGCAAGCATTTATTTTTAAATGTGAAGTGCACCATATAGGTGCTGACTTATGAATACAAATGAATGAAAATCTGAGTTTGATTCTCTTAAATGCAGACTTAATATTCCATAGAAAGAATTAAAATTTAAAAAACGCCTACTAGGGGACTTCCCTGGCAGTCCAGTGGTTAGAACTTTGTGCTCCCACACCGGAGGGCACAGGTTTGATCCCTGGTCAAGGAACTGCTGGAGAAGGCAATGGCAACCCACTCCAGTACTCTTGGCTGGACAATCCCATGGACGGATGAGCCTGGTAGGATGCCATCCACGGGGTCACTAAGAGTCAGACACGACTGAGCGTCTTCACTTTCACTTTTCACTTTCATGCACTGGAGAAGGAAATGGCAACCCGCTCCAGTCTTCTTGCCTGGAGAATCCCAGGGACAGGGATGCCTGGTGGGCTGCCATTTATGGGGTCGCACAGAGTCGGACATGACTGAAGTGACTTAGCAGCAGCAGCAGCAGCAAGGAACTGCTAATCTCAGAACCCAGGCTGAGAAAAAGAGCTAGTCTCTTGGAAACTGCTGGTATTTCCTCATTAACATCCCCCCTTCAAGGCACAAGTCTCACAGGTAAACAAGCACAACTTGAATTTTGACTAAATCATTTCTTGACTTTTCTTTATAGTTTTATAAGCCAAAATTCTATTATTTTTTGAAAGGTGTTGTTTCATTTTACTGATGTTTGAACTTTAAGTAAATAGAATCATTTTATATGTATTTCTCTGTGTGATTGTCTTTTTTTTTTTTTTTTTAGGCCCAAAGAAGAAGATTCAAACTCATGGCCAGAAGGCTTGGTAAGCCCCGCAGAAGTGTTTTATTTAGCCTTCAAAATGTTTACTAAGATTTTTATTTACAACCAACTGCAGTTGCAAAACACCCGGTGGTGGGGAGGAATTCCAGAGTTCCAAAAAGCAAGACTTGCATTTGCCAAGGCAGGCAAGTATTTACATACCATTTACATTGTATTTACAACTCTTTACATAGTATTTACACGGCGTCAGGTAATCATAAGTAATCTAAGGATTATTTAAAGGATAAGGGAGGATTTGTGTAGGTTCTGTGTGAATACCGTGCCACCTGAATGAGAGACTTGCGCGTCCGTGTGCTCCGGTGTCCGTGGTGGGTCCCGGTCCTCTCAGACAGGGGTGAGTACGGGAGGACCCCGTCCCAGTCTCAGGAGGCAGCCTGTGCTCAGGCAAGTCACTTCGCTTCACACCGCCCAGTTTTCTCCTCTGACAAGTAGGGGTAATAGTGTTACCTACTTCGTGGGGCTGTTGGCGAGATTAGTGAGTTAATCCATGTAAAGTATTTTGTTGCTGTTTTTTGGACCCATGGCTTGTGGGATCTTAACCCGCACTCTTGGCAGTGGAAGCGCAGAGTCCTAAC